TGTGTCCCTGTCTCTGTCCGTGTGTCCCTGTCTCTGTCCGTGTGTCCATTTGTCCGTGTGTGTGCCTCTGTGTATGTCTGTGTGTTCCTGTCTGTGTGTCCCCGTCTGTCTGTGTGTCCCCGTCTGTCCGTGTGTCCGCGTCTGTCCGTCCACGTATAACCTTCAGCATGAAGACAATTGCTCCTCCTGATATTTGCTCAGCTTCCACTGGCCACAAAATGTCACTGTTGCTCTGAAAGAAAAAAAAGCCCTCTCTTTGGTCATAGAGGGTCCTGTATAGAGAGCTGAGACAAGGAAATTGGTAATAGGATTACTTGGCTTGGCAATGCCCACAATGGTCTCTTTCTATTAAGCATGGGCATGAGGAAGCTCTTCTCCCCCCTCCCCCAATCAGCCCTTAATCTTCCCTGTCTCATGCTTCTTACTAGCCTAATTCTTTGGTCTTCCTCCAAAGGAAGCCTGCTCTAATTAGGCAAGTTTGAGGCAGCAAGGTTGCATGGTGGGTAGAGTTCTAGACCTAGAGTCAGGAATTTGAATCACTCCTCAGACTTTTACTGGCTGCTTAAGTCACTTACTCTCTTTGCCCCAGTTTCCTCTTTGGTGAAATGGGGACAATAATAGCACCTACTTGTGAGGATCAAATGAGCAACATATTTGACATGCTTTGCAAACCAAAGTCTGGATCAATTCTTTGCTGCTTATGCCAATTTTGGCCTAACAATTAACACCAAGAAAACACAGGCGCTCCACCTGCTAGCACCACACGATCCATACGTGGAACCATCAGCTAAAGTAAATGGAGACATTTTGAATGCTGTGGATAAGTTCACTTACCTTGGCAGTATACTTTTCAGGGATGTACACATAGATGATGAGGTCGATGTATACATTGCCAGAGCTAGCTTAGTGTTTGGGAGGCTCTGAAGGAAAGTGTGGGAGAGAAGAGGTATTAGACTGCCTACCAAGCTGACCTCATTCTTGTAAGCTTGTGAAACCTGGACAGTTTACCAGCACCATGCCAGGAAACTGAATCCCTTCCATTTGAATTGTCTTAAGAAGATTCTGAAGATCACCTGGCAGGATAAGGTACTGGACACCTAGGTCCTTTCTTGAGCATTCAAACTCTACTACAGAGAGCGAAATTCTGATGGGCTGGCCACATTGTTTGAATGCCAAATATACACTTGCCTAAAAAAACCATTTTACAGAGAACTCATGCAAGGAAGGCGCTCACGTGGTGGTCAGAAGAATCGATTCAAGATCTCTCTGAAGAATTTGGAATTGATTGTGTGACATAGGAGTCACTGGCAAAGGACCGCCCAGCATGGTGTTCCTGCATCAAAGAAGGTGCTGTGCTCAATGAGCAAAGCAGAGCTGCAGTGGCTCAAAAGAAACATGATGAGCAAATTTAGAGACCTCTCCACCCTAAATGTACATGTGGACTATTTGGGCCCGACCCGTGGTAGTGTTCCAAGCTCATATCGGTCTGATCAGCCACAGCTGGACACACTGTACCTTGACCCTTACATAGTGATGTCATTTTGGTCCTCTTTGAGAGCAGAGAACAACAGCCAACCCACCCTTAAAGTGCTCAATAAAGGCTTGTCCTCATTCTTTGCTGCCTCCTAGTTCCTCTTCTCATATCCACTTAAGACCTTCTCTAGTTATTCCAGCCCAGAGTGATCTTTCCATTTCCTGACCTCCTCTTCTAACTGAATCATGGAATCTCAATGCTTAGAAGGGACTCAGAGGCTGGGGCCATCTAAGCCCAACCCATGCCTAAAAACAAATTCCCCTGCACAATATCCCTGGCAAGTGGTCATGCAGCCTTTTCTTGGAGACCTCCAATGAGAGGGGTGCTCACTACCTCCTGAGGTCATCCATTCCACTTTGGGGTAGCCCTAATTGGTTTTTTTTTTGGTTGGGCAACTGGGGTTAAGTGACTTGCCCAGGGTAACACAGCTAGTAAGTGTCAAGTGTTTGGTCTGAGGCCAGATTTGAACTCAGGTCCTCCTGACTTCAGGGCTGGTGCTACAGCCCTAATGGTTAAAAAGAAAAATACTTTCTGACCTTGGGCCAAAATTTTCTTTTCTACATCCTGCATGTTACTCCCTCTAAATCTTCTCTTTTTCTACCTAACAGGTCACAATCCCTTTAATCAATCTTTATATAGCATGGTATAGAGATCTTTCACTATCCTCATCAGCATCTTCCATGTTTTCCAGATTGTCCATATGCTTTCTAAAATGTGGAACCCAGCACTGAGTGAGACCTGACCAGCACAGTGGGACCACCATTTCCCTCATTTTGCCCACTCTATCTCTTAGAAGCCTAAGTTTGTATAGCATATGCTCTGGAGCTACTCTCCCAGCCTTCTCCACCATCCCCAACACCCTCAAATTTCCAAGCTGGGTTCCCAGAACAAGGCTTCTGTCTTTTCAGAGTCTAGGGATAGCCTTGAGGAATTACAAAGTAGGTTTCTAATTTTATACCTCACAAGCCCCAGAGTCCTTCCTCCCATCAGTTGGTATCAATTAGTCAGCTAAACACAAGTTTTTTTTTTCTTTTTAGGCAATTGGGGTTAAGTGACTTGCCCAGGGTCACACAGCTAGTAAGCATCAAGTGACTGGTCTGAGGCCGGATTTGAACTCAGGTCCCCCTGACTTCAGGGCCGGTACTCTATCCACTGGCGCCACCTAGCCGCCCTAAAACATAATAAGTTTTTGAGAGGGATATTTACTAATGGAGTATAATTAGAACAATTGATACAAATATCCCCTCAGAAGTTTGGGCCACATTCTCCTACCAGTGTGTACATGTGCGTGTGGAGTCCAGGAGAAAATGGGTTCAAGCTTAGGGAGTATATGTGGTCAGAGGTTACCTGGAAGCTACCCACGTTCTTTTTAGGGAGATCTCAAGGTGTTTCCATTAGGGAGGGGAGTACAATATTTATTGTTATTGACATCGCACTTGGGGACAGAAATTAATCACAAATCAACAATGGGAAATTCACTTAGAGCAGGTGAAATGAGAGCCAAGTTTTCCAATTCCTTGATTTAGGTGGCCAGGGTGGGGTTTTGACCACATTAGGATTTATTCTACAGGAGCATGGTGGAAAATTAGGGCTTAACCTTCTAAGCCATCAGAAAAGCAGTATGAAACTAGGACGAAAAATTTTGAATTGGAAAAAAAAAACGCCTAAGAATAAGTCCAATTCCCTCCATCTACCAAGATAAATGACTTACTTAAAAAAAAGTTTGCCCGTCACTCATCACCAAACTTGTTTCTTCATCTGTAAAATGAAGGTTTTAGAAGGCCTTTCTATCTTAAATCTAAGATCCTATGATCTTATAAGCCATAAAATTTTAAATGACAACCAAGAACCCAATTTAGACAAAAGTGGTCACTAGTGTGTGCAATCCTACTGAAAACAGTTTGTTTTGAAGTCCAGGATCCCCTTGGATAGTCACTGGGGTTCCTGGGAGGAGGCTCCAACTCTTAGGGAGTAGACTGGCATTTATGTCACTTTCTGGTACAGTTTGGTAGCTTTTTAGGAGAAACGACAGCACTTTGTCTTCTATTCTTTCAATCCAATCACCTCACCGACAATGTAATTAGCACCATCTTCTGTCACACTGCTTTCTGCCAGTGTAGTGTTTTCCACTTAAGCCAACTCTTTACCCACAGACGGAGAAGTCTTTGGGAACTTGCTACCTCTATAATTAAGTGCAGTTGTGGGGAATCTGGTGATGATGAGGGGAAAGCCACCACCAGAGCCAACAGGGTGGAGACAATGAGGACCTTCCTCAGTGTGGTGCAGAATGGGGTTGTGTAAGACAGGTACATACATATAGGAGGCACTGGAGTTTTTTTAGGCTCCAGTTTCTAACAGGTTCACTCATGATCTAGTCAGACAGGAAGACAGTCCTAGACTAGTCTTCTCAAAACGGTTGCTGATAATGGGAGCACCAACTTCTACTGCATTCCCTAATCACACTTCTTGCAGGGGCGGGCAAGAATGTTTGGAGCTACAACTCCTTTTCGGTCCCTAAGCCTCAGTGGGGGCTGGTTGAGGCAATCACACAGATGCCTCTCAAGCCTTGATGAGGGCCAATCAAGGCAGGTACTTGCATTCCTCTATGCATTACCCAAATCCCAGAATGGGTTCTTTACTCACTTACCAGTACCCACTTGATTTATAGGGCAACAGAAAGAAGGCATATCACCAGCAACAGCCTCACAATTTTACATTACTTCATCCCTATATCTCACTGAGCAAACATGGTGGAGATGTTTACAAGTCATGAGCCTGGGAAATGCTATCTAACACCTGAAAACTAGAGATTGTTATGGCCATGGACTCTGTGAATTAAACTATAAGAAAGAATAACAAAAATCCATCTTACTTACATGTTGGTAGTCAGAGAAGGAAGAGAAA